CCTCCTGGGACCCTCAGCCAGCCCCGACCCCCGGGACGGCCAAGGCAGGACCACCCCTCTTCCTCCCCCTGCGGAGCAGGGACAGCCACTCGTGGAGGGTGAGCCCGGACGGGGACCCTCAGCACCTTGGACGGTGAGGCCTCTTTCTTCCTCCTCGGTGTCCGTCTCCTGCAGGTGAGGACGCGCACCGGCTGCGCCCTGCTGCCCGGGCCACAGGGCAAGGTGCCGGCTCTCCCTCCGAACAGACAGAGTCTCTCTTACTTGTCCATCAGTTCGACCCTCTGAACGTCCTCACACAAGCCTCGTGCCTCTTGTCACAGAAGTCAAGCTTCACGCAAGCGCATGGGAGCCGGTCCCCAGCCCATCAGCTTCTTTCTGCCTCTCGGAGCCCAAGATGCACCCAAACTGCCTGTGAATTTCCTTCTGTTTTAAACAAACATTGTGAGATGGTTTGCGAGGAGGAAAAATGGAAAGTATTGGCTCTCATAAAATTGGGCTCACCTTGGATTTTTGCGTTTATTCTGCTATTGTTTTCCTGCAGCAGGACGGACAGACAGTACAAGAACCACGGCATAAGGGCAATGCTCCCTGAGGCCCCAAAGCCGGGCGTCGTCACCAGTGCCTGGAGTTCAGAGGAGGTGCTTCCTCTAACAAACTGGAGCTCTTGTTACGACGCACCGAGTGGAAGAGCGTCGTGGTCCATGCCGGCCAAGGTTAGGGGGCCTTCCATACACGTGCAGGCCACCGAACACAGAAGTCAGCGGCCGGCCTGAGAGGAGACCCGTTTCACGAACATCGAGCAGAAGCTGCGTCTCCAAAGGGTCCTTTTGGGGCTGGGTTTTGTTCACGTGAGTGTCGCTTGAAACGGGTGAACCTTCAGCTAAGCCTGGGGAGGATTTATGGAACCGCCGTTTGGGTTAGCACCACGTTTACTGGTATTTGCTCCAAGGCGGGCCTGGGAGGGGCTCCCCGGGTCCGGGCCCTTCCTTTCACTGTCATCCGAAACACCTTCACCGTGTGCGCGCCTGGCTCCCAGCTCCCTGCAAGCGCACGGAGCCGGTTCCATCACAATGCGTGCAGCCTCGCAGGAGGAAGGTTCCCACCCTCTGGTGACGACTCCCTTTGTGGACGTGGCCACAGATAACAGCTCTCTCCTCTCCCCAGGTCTGAGCAGGGGCTCAGAAGCCACAGCCTAGAGAGCAGAGAGGCGCGAGCTGGAGAAAGTTCAGAGGCTTTTGTTTCCCGAGCGCACAGATTTGGTGCGATGCCCCCACCCTTCTGCTTATCGGAAAGTGTCTTGGAGAAATACGACAAACGGTCCCCTCGTGTTATTATGACAGATGGGTCTCTCAGCTTGCAGAGTCTCTCCGAATCAGATTGGCTGTAATTACACACGCCAGTGCCTTTTCCTGGCATATGTAAGATGAAGCTATAAAGGTGTTGGTTTTTATTGGGCCAGAAACATGCCGTAAGCCCACCTTTAAATGAGAGTCTTCCTTGACACAGAAAATTAAAATGGTAGGTGGCATGCTACGACTCCAGTCATGTTTATATTTCACGTCGTATTCCTGGATTTGTCTGTGGAAATTTTAAGTGTTTAGCACGCCCTCAAAATACTTATTTCATAAAGGTAAATGTAATTTCCAGATGTGGACATAGGTCACATTATTGAAAGATAATTCATTCGATTGAAATTCTTAACCTAACCCCGAGCCATCTGTGGACATCCGAACATATTCTTTGTCCGTATCTTGCGTCTGCGGGAAAATGCACCTAGCATCTCAGACAACACCCTGTGAGGCTTCTGGGGGCACAGCCAGCAGGTGGGCAAGTCAGAGAAACGGCTGGACAAAATTGTCAACCATCCACGGACACGCTTTAAATTCTGACACAGAAACAAACTCTACGCTAAAAGGTGGGAAAAGCTACCTCATGCAAACGGTGGTAACTAGACAGCCGGAGCAGCGGCGCCAACGTCACACAAAACAGACCCGAAGGCGAGCGGTATTATCAGCCGCCAGGAGGGGCATTTCACCGTGATAAGCCGGTCGGCACTTCAGCAAGATACGATAATTACAAATGTACATGCACCGAGCAGCAGAGCCCAACGTCTGTGAAGCAAAACCACACAGAACGGATGGGACAGCCAGGCAGACAAGCAGTAAGAACAGGAAGTGCGAACGGCACGGCCAGCGGGACCCGGCAGACGCTCAGCGGACTCGTCACACAGAGACAAGCACGTGTGCCCCCACGCGGGCGCGAGGCACATCCCCAGAGCAAGGACGTGAGGCCACACCTCGCATCTCAGCACACGGAGAAGAGGAATTACACAAACTCCGCTCTTCAACCACGTGAAGCTAAACTGGGAGTAAATGACAGGCAGAATGTGGGAAGTCCCTGAGTGTGTGGAAGGTAAACAACACTTTTATGAAGAGCCCATTAGTATAAAAAGAAATCACAACTAGGCTAGAAGCTATTCTGAGCTAACTAGAAAATGAAGCACAATCTATCCGATTTACAGGATGCAGTTAAAACAGGGTTTGAAAGTTGTAGCTTTATTACTGTTTTTTTAAATTGAAGTACAGTCAGTTACAATGTGTCAATTTCTGGGGTACGGCACCACGTCCCAGTCCTGCACATACAGACGTGTATTCATTTTCATACTCTTTTTCATTAAAGGTTGTTACAAGATATTGAACGTAGCTCCCTGTGCTCTACAGAAGAAATCTGTTGTTTATCTATTTTTAGTGGTTAATATTTGTAAATCTGAAATTCCCTAATTTATCCCTTCCCATCCCCTTTCCCCTGGTAACCATAAAATTGTTTACTGTGTCTGCGAGTCTGTTTCTGTTTTGTAGATGAGCTCATTAGTGTCCTCTTTCTCCTTTTTTTGTGTTTTTAAGATTCCACACATGAGTGCTAACATGTGGTATTTTTCTTTCTCTTTCTGGCTTACTTCACTTAGAATGACATTCTCTAGGAACATCCATGTTGCTGCAAATGGCATTATTTCATTCTTTTTTATGGCTGAGTAGTATTCCATTGTATAAACATACCACAGCTTCTTTATCGAGTCACCTGTCGATGGACACTTAGGTTGTTTCCATGTCTTGGCTGTCATATATAGTGCTGCTATGAAAGTTATAGCTTTAAGTACATGCATTACAGAAGAAAAAAAATCTCAAACTGAGAACTAAGGTCCTACCTAAAGAAACTAGATTAAAAAGGAACAAATTTATCCCATAGGAAACAGAGGCAAAAAATCATAAATATCTGAGTGCAAATCATTGAAGTGGAAAACAGAAAAGCCAGAGGCAAGTCAGAGGAACCAGAGGTCAGCGGCTTGAGGAGGTGAACAAAATTGATAACCCTGTGGCCAGACTGACCGAGGGAAAAATGGAAAAACTCAACTCACCAAAATCAGGCACGAAAGAGGAGACGTCACCAACTGTACAGAAAGTAAGCCTTTAACGGAAAGTTATGAATGACATTATGCCGACAAGTTAGGGCGACGTCGCTAAAAAACAAATTCCTAGTGTGACACAAATGACAAAACTGAGCCAAGAAGAAAGGAAAACCTGAAGATTTTCTTCACAACAACAAAGAAACCAGGTCTGACCAGAAAGTGAAGATCTTTCTGCAGAGAAGAGCCCGGCGCAGAGGAGTCTCGGTGACAGCAGACACACACTCGAAAAGAGAAAACACCAATGCAGGGTCTTGCGGAGAGAAGAGGAACCGCTTCCCGGGTCAGCCTGGGGGCCAGGTCACCCTGACACCAAAGCCAGACAAAGACACGGGGGAGGAAGACTGCAGACCAAGAGCCTCGTGCGCAGAAACCAAAGCCCCCACCAAGCCGCCAGCACGGAGAGCCCAGCGGTACTTAGGGGGGCCTCTGCCCCGGCTCGGGGCGTTCGTCCCCAAATGTAAGGACTGTCTGATGCATGAAAGTCAGTTAATGAAATGGTCACGTCCACAGGGTAAGGGACCCAAAGGGCCACCGTGATGACACAGAAAAAGCATTTGTTGGAACTAAACACCCACTTTTAATATGAAAACCCCTGCCCTTGGGTGTCCACCCTGAGGTGACTCCCGGGCTCCGCTGAGCCTCCACTAGCACGGCCTGGTCTCCTTCCTCTTCAGCCCAGAGCACTTGGGTGGGTAACCGCCTCGGACAGCAGCGCGCCGGCTCCTCGGGAAAGGCCTGGACACACGTGCCTGCCCCCCAGCCCTGACCCTGCGTCCTCTGCGGGGGACGCATCCCTCCACCTACATCAAAGCCACAAACAGACCTCCTTTCCCGCCCTCCTGAGGCCCTTCCCTCCCGATGGCCCCCCTCCCGCCCCACTGTCCTGGGAGAGCCGGCTCCAGCCTGCAGAGAAGGGACCGCCCCAGGCTGGGGTGCACGTGTGACCTCCGCTCAGACCCAGCGGCATCTCCCCCTCCCTGCCCGGGGCTGCTGTGTGATCTCTGAGCGTGTGGTCCGGGGCCGGCCGCCCTCCCGTCGACTGAAGACAGGACTCAGAGATAATTCGGCTCATCTGCCCTTAAACCATCAACTTCAACTACTTCTTCCAGCAGGTCAGCTATTTCTGGAACAGCAAACCAAAGAAGCCACTCATGGCAGCAAACATGTCCCCAGCTGTCCCCACACATGCACTCCCAGCCTCATGCGACCTGGGACCACACGCCCTCCCTCACCTGCTCGCTTTGCCGGAGACACTCTCCCCTGTGGCCATGGGGACAGCAGGGTCCCCGCCAAGTGGGCAGCACTGTCAACCCTTAATCCCTCAGCCCCGCCCGACGGCTGCGACCACGGGTCCTCGCTGACCAGAGCCCCTGTGGCCTGGACCTTGCCTCCACCTCCGTCCTTCCGTCTTCCACAGATATTCCGAGTGAGGGGCACCCAAGGCCTTGGTTTCTCTGCACTGCCCCACCCTGGTGCTCCGCCGCACCCCGCCTGCAGCCCGTCCCCAAGGCCCACGGCGGCCGCACGCCCTGACCTCCAGCTCCTGGAACTCCTCCTCCTCCTCCACGTCGTAGGACAGAGTGTGGATTTTCATGTCTTCAGCCGAGAGGTCAATGAACTTGCTGTCGGGGTACTCCAGGCTCTCTTTGGGGGGCGACCGGTCCTCGATGAAGGTGGTCTCACAGCAGTCGGCGGCCACGCCGTCCCCCCAGGAGCGCAGCACACCCTCGGAGTAGAGGATGATGTTGGGGCGGTAGTGGGATTCCACCGACTGCTGGAGGGTGTTGGGGTCCAGCAGCTGCTGGAGTGGCTCGTTCCTGCTGCCGTGCAGGGCGGCCGGGGCTGCGCTGTCCGCCCCCCGGCCGCCCTGGCACTGGTGTGCGGGGTACACGGACGCCCGGCCGTCCCTGCCCTCGGCCGTGAAGCTCCGGGTGTTGATCAAGCCGTTCCTCCTGCCGGCCTCGCTGAGCTTGCCACGCACCAGCGCGCTCTCCTGCTCCAGGACGCTGGCCATGACGCTGGCTCTGCCGGGCGGGTGGCAGGCTGGAGGGCTGGACGCGAGGGTCACGCTTGCCTCATGGGGCCCATTTCTCCTGAAGGAGGAGGACACACAGATGAGACAAGAAAACCACACCTGAAAAGCTGCCCATTGTCCAGACCCGAGATGTTTCGGCGTGGCCGTGTCGCTGGTCTGGCGCTCCCTCGTCTGCCAGTTTTAGGAGGACTCCCCAGGCACCCGGCCAGCGCGAGCCTTCCCCGCACCTCTGCAAAGTCTCTGCTTCCAGATGAAGGAGACGCTGCAGGGACTGGAACCACTGCAGCTCGAGAGAAACCCGTGGTCCCAGCTGCCCCCAGACCTCCATGTCGGACCCCCACACCA